CTTGTTCTGTCTAGACACTAGTCCCAGACCCGTACGATGAATATGACGTAAGTAATCACCCGGAGGGCTCTTAATGAGTGGATCCGAAATCATGGACCGTGTATCGATCCAGCGAATCTTGCCACAGGTGTCTGCCAGATCACTTTTGATGATGGACAGATCAATGGCTGTCTGCTTGTCGCTTGCATACGCCACTGTACTGGAGCATTTGCTCAAAGCGTTGTACAAACTTTTAGAGTCTACGGCGGCAAAGACTGGAAGCTTGCCGGCTTCTCGCTTCCAGTCTGCAGCACTGAGCATGCCATGAAAGGCTTCAAGAAACAACATCCGATGCCAGCGAACGACACCGAGTCCCCACTGTAGGGCTTGGCCCTCTGCCAATAGGGTGTCTGCAGTGTTGCGCTTCAGCCGGTAACTACGCCAAGCAGCCGTGGTCATGGAAGGCTCTTCAGAATAGGCAAGCTTACTATCATGATAAATCACAATTCGGCCCGCCTGACTACACAGATTCTGAAGCTTTACAAGATTCCCGTGAACCTCGGAAGCTGGAACACCTTCTTGGCTGGAAGAAGCTGCTGTAGATCTCGGTGCGACGATCTGGTAGTAGAAGGTGAACATCAGGTCCATGAGGTGAGGCTCCAGGATGGAAAGTGGTTCGTCGTGGAGAAACGTGATGCTGGATCCATTCCTTTTCGGTCTCCTCCCAGTAGTCGTCGCAACTGTCTTCGAGCCAAAGCTTGTCCTTGGAGTACCCCCAGGAGGCGTCAGTGACTACTGAGACCCAGAGTTGGTCCCACGGTATAGGCATCACGCGAATGCCAAGATCCGCATGCTTGATGGCTTCAGCAGCAATCTTGTTGCCCTCGATGAGGTCAGGAAAAGCCTGCTGGAGTAGCGCAACTCGGCCTGCAAGGTCACAACGTGTCTCCTTGGACAACCAAGAAAACACCGAGTTGACTAATTCTGCAGCTGTGCACTTCGAGGAGCGCTGTTGCTTGCGCTCGAGGGTGATCTGGTTGATGATCACCTTGTCGTTGACGCGAATCGATCCATCAAGCTCCAACTTGATATCCCAGTAAATCTGCCCTCCCTTTTGGTTCTTGCCCAGCTTGTACTCCGTGGCGATCTTCTCGATGATGGCCCAATCGTCGTCATCCCACCATGGATCATGTCATCCGTGGCAAGGCCAGCTGCTGGTGCTCCTTAAACCGGCGTCTTCTCCGTGAGGCCTTGAGGTAGAGCACGCAGGGGTCAAACTGGCTGACCTGGTGCCAGAAGTCCTGAGCGAGTCTCCGGGTGAGGTGGCCCAGGCCCATCCGTTAAGCCATAGCAAGTCTTGAGAAGCCGCAATACCTGATTGCGGCGGGTGCCTTGATGCCTTCTGGAGTTTGACGACAATACACTCTGTAGCAATCTTGTCGCCAGAATGGAAAGCTTGAGTAAAATCAAGAAAGCCAGGAATCCAGGACATGCTTGCCAGAACCTGAGCTACAAAGATCACCGACTCCCGCTGTACTTGAGGAGTGGTGCTCTCAACATCCAGAGCCGATGGACTTGAAAATCCATGGCGATACTTGGCCTTCTTGGGGCCAAATCCGGCATCTCCAAGAAGGATATCTTCTGCAGGAACTCCATCCACTTCGAAAGCTTCAAGTGGCCTCTTGGTCAAGACGTAGCGGGAGTTCATGACTTTGTCGGACTTGTTCTTGAGAACCTGATCCGAAGCTTGAGGCGGGAGGAGCTCATGGGCACCAGTCAGGAGATTGTTCCGAATCTGTTTGCTAATGGCTCGTTGGAGGCGCTGGTCATCGGCGCCAACAAAGTCAGAACCTCTAGCTTCTTTTCTTGCCCGCTGCTTTGCAAGAGCTTGCAGCTGGAGATTGTCGACTTTGAGAAGTTCAAGTCTTCATCATTTCTCTGGCGGCGCTGCCTCCGGCAACTCCGCTTCTCTTTTGCGATCGGTGGCTGGGGCTTCTTCTGCAGCAGCCGAGTCAGGACCAGGCTGCACAGTCACAGACTCCGAAGAGGCTGCTGGTAGTCCTGCTTGGAGGTCCGTTGTACTTATAACCTACTTAGGAACTGTAGTTATAACCTAATTTTTGGTCCCATAACTACATAACTAGGTTATAACTATAGTTACTAAGTAGGTTATAAGTACAATGGACCTCCAAGTGAAGGTTGCTCTGGCATATGAGCACCTGGAGGAAGGTCATCCGGAAGATCAGGAAGTTGATCACGTGGCCTGGCGTAAGTGGCCATCTTGCGCCGAACTCGCGGACCAGGAGGATCTTCAGGAGGATCGTGGCGGATGCCCTCATTGTCGGAGGGCTCATAGTCCTTCATCTCGCCGTCGACGTCGATGGGGTCGGTGTCCTGGGAGCAGTCAACAAAGTTGCGCTTGGGAATCTTTTCGAAGGCTTCCGGGGCTTGAGTGATGCCGTCCAACCAGTCGGAGATGGAAAGCGATTCTTCTTCAGAGGCCACACGGATTCCTTCTGGGGCCCAGACCAGTCCTTTATGATTGTCTGGGATTCTTTGTAGGGGCCAGTTGGCCCGCGTCAAAGTTCTGGAACTTGCGCCGACCAGCCAAACGCTGTTCGAAAAACTTGGTCACAGTCCGCCGCGTGAAAGGCACAAGAGGCTGCCTTTCGCATCCGCGTAGCACTGGCGTCAAGGTCGCCAATTTTTTGAAGGTCAGCTGCAGCAATGTCATTGTCGCCGCCGCTGAGCAGTCCACCTGGCCACCTGGCAACCGGGGAGTATATCCCCATAACTTTTTGGACTGGGGAAAACATGCCCGAAGAAGAAGTCTGTTGCGGGTCATGCAGGTGATATCGACCAATTCCTTCCACTCAGCAATGGTGCTACATGAGTACGTTGCCATGGCCTTGTGCAGCAAGTCTTTGAAGATGCCACCGGCCCGCTCTGTCAGGCTGCGTTGTGTGGGAGCCTCAAGAGGCCCCGGCGCTACCTTGCTGCCGTCCCTCTATGCTTGCTGTGAACTGAGCCCGAAGTTCTGTGCCTAAGTCATTGAGAATCTTGCGAGGGGGGCCAAAGAACCTCACCCATTGTCTGTAAGCTTCTCGGACCGCCTCCGAAGTCTCCTGGCGAAGCGGAATGACAAGCTGAAAATGGGAACCCCAATCTATGATGTTGACAGCAGGCGCAGCATTATTCTGATGATCTCTGAGATGCACAGTATCAATGGCAACCAAGTCATTGACCGCAGTGCTTTCTCGTGGCGGGGCTCCTCGTATCGCTGGATCTGGGAGCTTGTATGTCTGGCATACAGAGCATTGCAAGCTCTTTGCAATATCTATGGCTGCTGGAGGTGCTTTTCCGTGTCGCAAAATTCTTACAAATCTCTCCGTTTGGGGATGACCAAGCCCCTCATGAGCCCTTCGAACAAGTTGCTCTAGATTGACTTTTTGAAGTCCAGGAAAATGTCGAATTCTTCGAGATTTGATGACTCCCAGATTTCTAAAGTAGAGGGCCCTGACCGTATCACTGGCTTCAATTTGGGGACTAGGTTGATGCAGCTCTTTCCAGCGAACCTCGTCTTCCAGCAATCTCCAAGTTGTACATCGGAATGACCAACTACTTCGCCAATGAAACTCCACCGCACCATGATCATCAGGAGGAAACGGAATACAACTGCGATTCTTCTTCGCAACCACAGCACGAAAATCCGAAAGAGCATGAATGCTCTCATGTTCTACATGTTCAGGATCCATACCTGCAGAACAAGGATCAACTTCAGAGATGGATCCGGATCATCATGTTGGTGCCAGACCTCACTTGGGACTTCTACACCCAAATTGGCTGTACTGAAACAAACCTTGATGGATCTCTGCGCGCTCACTCCTGGCAAAATTTCATGATGGTGATCTGCGTCGACCTTCACAATCTCGGAGCTACAAACCACATCGAATGCGTGAACATCCACCTGCGTGCTACGGCTATACTCAGACAAGATGGCGTCCGCGAGCTTAAGCGGATAGTGTTGGGCCGGTTGTGACTTCAGCTAGCCATCCAACGTGCCAAGGATCCAGGAATGATCGTGATCACCTGGACAAGTTTGTTGTAGCTTCAGGGCGATGCTTAAATTATTTGTCATAAAACCTGTTGACTTTCTCAAGGCTGCTGTCGAACATCCTTTAAGCCAAACATACACTGATCACCCCGAACCCTATAGATACCTGGTTGCTGCAATAGTCGCCGCACGCAATCTTCCTGCCATGGGGCAGCAGCCCAAGGATGCTCAAACAGAAAAACGCTACCCATATTGTAATAAAGCTGACAGATGGACATAGCGAAGTTTAAGAGTTGCTTGCCCTTCTTGGATTTCTTTAGATAACGCTTCATGGCTGACATGTTCTGCTTTCGGAATTGTTCAACTGCGAAAATGAACCACAAGGAGGAGGTACTACGCAAAGTCCCAGATAATGATGATGCTTGATGTAGCTGATCACGGCTGCCTGTGCTTCTGGTTGAAGTAGATCTTGTCCTAGAACTATGTCAAAGGCCTTGCCTTACATTTAGTCCATGTCGATGAGCCCTGGAAAACACCACGGTTTGGAGTCAAAACTTCCGCCACGGTACGAAACTCCTTTGCGCTCATGCCCAAAATCTCCTGATGGAAGGCTAGCTTCTGCTTGCTTGGCTGATGCTGGAGGTCATCAAACACACGACTTTTCAAAACGCGCAGGTGCTGCTCCGACTCGGGGCCTAGGCTTCATGCAACTATACGGCGTGCCTTTGAGGGAGGAAGATGACCTAGCTTTTCTTCCCCAAGAGCTACTTGGACTTTCGCTTGCGGAACTACTGGAACTGCTTGAGCTCCCGCCATTCCTGATAATTCGGGGATCGACTCGGTCGAGATGGCTTCTCGGGCTCCTCCGGAGCCGCTGCGCGCTCCTGACGATCCAGGAGAAGGCCACGCTGCTTGCACTTCAACTGCACCGTGTGGCCGTTGGAGCCCTGGCGGGTGGTCTTGACATGCTGGCAGTGGAGCTGGTCCAGAGTGATCGGCTCCTGCTTCCCAGGCGTGGCTGGTGAACTGTGATCCTTTCCCCAGAAGACTTGTGCTCGGGGCAGCTGAAGAACGTCCTCTGATAGTTCGGCCTGTCCTTGAGGGTCCTCAACACCACGGTCCGTTCGGAGCAGTAGCATAGAGGGCTCATTGCAGGAGAATCCGGACGCGATGCATCCGCTTGTTGTTGATCTTGGTGTCATCGAGGGCTGGCTCATCTCCTCGACGCGGCTGCTGCGCATCCCTGGGCGATGCTGGCTCGACCGGCAGAGTGAGGTTCTCAGACTCGGTCTGGATTCCCAACTGCTTCAGGAAGAGGCGGTCGAAAAGATGTGCAAGTTGCTGTGCAAGCCAAATCAACGCACGCAGAACCATCCTTCTCCAAGCTGACTGCAATCTGGTCGCCATGGTGCGGCTGCGCTTCATGAGGAACAAGTGAAGAAGGCGATGCCGGGGACGGATCACAAGTAGCGCCCTCTGGCTTGGTCTGATCAAAAGCATCCGGATTCTGATTAACTAACACTCATGATCTCGGAGGCTGACTGTCTTTGAGCTCCTGAATGGCCTGAGCGAATGTTGCCATCGAACTCGCGAAGCGGCATTCTCAAACCTCCTGTGGGACCAATATGGAGTGAAACCTTCTTCTGGAAACGCCTGAGATACAGACTGCTTCTCGGGATCCAATTCAAGAACAGATCTACATGAAAGCAAGAACGGCAAGCTCAGCAACAAAGGTGCATGGCAACCAAGGAGTCCTCGAAGACAGCAGGTCGGAGAGTACAACCCCCACGGCCCAAACTTGGTCGGAATACACGTCCTCGACAAACCGCGGACCGAACGAAATTGATGAACTTCTAGGAGCATTGCTACTGGCATGGATTTGGGCTGCTTGCTGAGCAATCTGTTAAGGGTTTCAGCTCCAGTGGCTGACCTTTGGCATCCTGTGTCGATAGTGCCACAACAGTCATCATCAATGTGACCTTGAACAAGCCAGCATTCATGAACCTGAGCAGGCGGAGGCGCGCTCACGTATGCTTCGGTGGTTGGAAGGTCACGCGAGTTGGAGTTACTCGAGGTGCCGGGGTCAAGGGGCTGCACTGTGGCCTGACTACACGTGTACTCGAGGTAGTGCAGAAACAAGGCCTCTTGGTTCTCAAGGGGGTGGCTCTCTTTAATCTCGGGCTTTGAGGATCGCATCGGACACTCGCGCCACCAATGTCCAATCTGCTTGCAATGCCCACAGCGAGTATGTTTCTTGAGAGTTTCCACCGTGACCTTGTAGGTGTCCCCGTTCTGGAAGCGACGGCCAGCAAGACTTCCTGCTCCATATCCTGGGGCCAGTTCCTTGGAGCGCTTTGCCTGGTTGACGGCAGCAGAGTCCGTTTGCCACCGCCTTTGCCATGGGAACGGATCATGGCAGCAAGTACATTCTTCACCTCATCTTCGTCGAACACTTGGTTGCTCTCCTCGTTGATTGCGCCGTCTTCGGGGTCAAGGGAGTTCATGGCGTTCAGAAGGATCTCCAGGTCCTCGTCGTCGTTCTGGTAATCATTGCCGGGCTCAATCTCGAGGATTGTGCTGGCGCGCTTGATGAGGTCGTCTTTGTCAGGCCCAGGTTGGTCTCATGGACCTGCGGCCATTCTTTCACCGACTTGGCTCCAAGGTTGCCTTGTGTGAAGTTCAAACGAAGCTTCACTCCTTTGGAGGTGAGATGAGGTGAGTTTCAACGCCATGGTCAGCAAGAATCCAAGATAATCAGAAGGCAAAACAATCTGGTGCTCATCAAGCTTCCTGACGGCATTGTCCCACTTCGTGAAGAAAGACTGATAATCCTCACCCTTGGCACGACGAAGACCATAAGTGATCTTTACCAAGGAGGCCAACATGTCTTCACGATCGTCCTCTCCAAACAGCTCCTTGGTATCCATCAGCTTCAGGAGCTTCTCGCCATTGTGCTCGTCCTTGAGCCAGGCGTCGTCGCGAGCCAGATACTTCATGGAGTCGCAGTGGATGCCGCTGAGGTTCTTGAGCAGGAGGGGACCTTGGGCACGAGCTTGGTCTTGGTTGTGACCATCCACAACCTGGCACGGAGCAAGTAGTCCTAAAACTGGTGGTGCCATCCCACGATGGCGGCGGACCAGCATTGGTCCGATCGGAGACACCATCTGAGGCATCTCTTGGGAGCATCTCTTGGGAGCCGGCCACGTCGTGACTGACTCTGTCTCAAAGGCCAAGAAAGCCTTCAAATTTAGCTGGAACCCGTTCTAGACCCTGAGGGAGAGAAACCAAGAGGTGCATGTTCTTCATCGGACTCAGGTGTGGGAACGTCTTCATGATCATTGGAAGCCGCGGGCGAAGCCGTCGCCAGTAAGGAGCAAGCACAAGTAACGTTACGGGCTACCCCTACCGAGTGAGCGTACTGAGTGCTCCGCTACCACTGTGGCGCGTTGGGCCACAGCGGCAGCCTCCTTAACCCTGGGCACCTGGCCCTTTCCTCCGCTTGACCCATCGCATCGATGGCAGAACGTCTCGTTGTGCGTGTCTCCTTGCGCAAGGCTGCTTCGGGAATGGGACCTTTATGACTTTACAATAGGATTATAAGGTCTATTTTGGGGTTATAAGGGGATCACCGACAATGCGTGACAGCCACGGTTCGGTTCGGTTTGGGTTACGTGTAGCATTTAGCATGGTTCGGTGCAATGCGGTTGCTTGTTTGATTTTCCAGTTCGCTTTGATGCCGCCATTTATTGTATGATGGTGATTAATTCCCAACCGCATTACGGTTGGGCTTCAGTCTCTGATAAAGCTGGAAAATTTGAAAGTTGGGCGGTCTTTTGCCAAAATGGGTAATG